TATCGAAACCCGGTTTCTAGCGTTGTAAGTCCGCAGACATACCGATGTGCCACTGGGGGGGGGGGGGCGTTTGACATTTAATGTTTGTTTGCTTTTTGTAGATTGAAACAAAATTTGGGCTGAAAGCTTTAGGATTTTTTATCTGAAATTTTCCTGCAAATAAAGACCACACTAATGCGTATTTCATAGATTTTGATCTATGATTTTGATTTTTTGTACAGAACATTATGAGAAAGGCTTTGTAAAGAATAAAATATTATCAAATAAGATATGTGATCAAAATCTTAGTTCTGTTGTCCATGAAAAATATTCTCAAGGATTTAATTTTGAAACGTAATTTTTATCTCTTAAAAACTAACTTTTTTTCGTTTTTATTTTTTGGGTACTCGTTCTTCGCGTGGTGGTGGATTGGAATTGTGTGTGTTTATAATGAGGTCACTGATCATAAATAAATGGAAATCATGAAAAGAATTACCTTTCTAATCTGCTGAAGAAGGATAACATTTCTGTATAATCATAACCCCGAATATCCCTTTCTTAGTTCCCCGAAAGGGGACCAAAGGCCGCCAGGAGTGGTCATCCGTTTTAACCTCTCTCTCACAACTATACTGTAGTGTGTTGTCAGTCAGTCAGTAGACATTAAAGTGACGTCACATAAGGGACGATTAACGTTGCAACTTGTCCTGCCGTAACGTCAGTAAAACGTGCGCATGCCATAAATCACGAGAAGAATTATGCAATCTGTAGGCTACAACGCAGCATGATACATGAACTTCAAAAGTAAGAAATAAAGATATTTGTTACTCTTAATTTTGGTTTGATTTACTGGTTCAAAGACTATTTTGGATATTGTATCATCTGTGTATATTACCCCTCACTTTCATACAGCCAAGACGTTTTAAGCTCAGACCACAATGATTCGCACGTAGTATATGGTGTGATAAGTGTAAACCTGCACATGTTTAGCCAGCTGTTCCACCTTCAGGGACTGTGATTAATCATTGTGGGTCTAACCAGATGAGTCACGTGTCAGAAAGTACTTGATCTTCACTTTCATCCTCTTTTTTTTCAGCTGTTCTCTCAGGTGTATTTCATTTATCAGTTTCTGATTATCAGATATTTTGTGTATTTATGTAGCCATAAA